TGCATCTAACAAGTAACTGCACCCTTAATTTTTACAAAACCCAGGGGGAAGTGGCTAGGAGCGGGACGTGGCCAGTTGTCAAATATAAAAAGACAAAAGTAAAATCTAGTTTGCAATGCTCAAGCTCTAGCCCCCCTTTGGGAATAAAGTGTAGGATGTCCCCATTACTTTTGATTGATCGCCCTCTTTCTGGTGGACTTTCACTAGCAAGCTAGGTGGCTGCAACTAACCGTCTGCTCACAGAAACTGTACTAAGCCAGGATGCACTGACTTCCTGCCTCTTCTCCCCCCCCCCGCCCCCCCCTTCTGTAGCCTGCAGCTTTTTGCCCTCCCTTTGCCAAGTCCCCATCCCAACCCCGGTCCCCAGCAGGAATCCCCTCACCCCAATCCCAAGCTAGTACACACAGTTCATTATGTCTGTACTGGCTACAGAAAGAGGGTTTTTTTCCTCTCTGGTCCTCACTTTTATAATTCCTCAAACAAGAAATGTTTATGATAGTGTGCACTTTATAACTGTTTCTTTTCTAGGGATTTTTCCCCCTCAAAATCAACAATTAAATTTGATAGCACACCCCCCACCCCAAAGTGCCTTGCTGCAGGAAGCTTTGGAGTAAGTCCATCTTTTCAAACAATATTTTAGCAGGGCTGGTTTGTTGTTTTTTTTTAACTTTCTCCCCCCAACACACTTTCCCTTCCTTACTTACAAACGGTTGCTCTCTGAACCCTCTCTTGTCCCAAGCACTGAAAATAAGTTCCCAAGCCTACAAGAACATTTTTAAAAAACCAGAAAGAATGGGGAGAAAAAGGGAAAACATGGAAAGAAAATGAAAAACACTTACCAAGCAAACTTCCAGGGTTAGACTTTATAATAAAAGATGCTTTATTTTTTAAAGGAGGTGACGGGAGTGGGTGAAGGCATATTCTCAACTCCCCAGAACCGATGCATCCTTAGCCTTCCCTTCACACTGACTCCTCCGAGCCCAGCTCTCCACTAGTCTATTATTTTCACCAAAATATATGAAAATGTATGCAAATGAAAATCAGCACTAACTGTTCTCCCCTTGTTATATACTTTGGATTTTTTTTTTTCCAGACAAAACAATCACACTCGCAAAGGGAGGGAGCCGTTGGGGTGGGGCTGGGGTGGTGGCTAGGGTGCGACTGGAGCGCTAAGTAGGAGGAAAGGGGGGGACTAAGGGGACAAATCTCGGAACAGAAGCGCATTTCTGTTATCGAGGAGCACTGCGTTTTGGGGGGCTTCCCATTTGCCCACACACCCTCCTTGAAAAGAAAGAAAGTGGATACGTTTGCAGAGGCGCTATCACGTTTCATCAGGCCACCTGAGACTGCTTTTGAAAGCGTGCACTGTGAAATTCATAGCAGTAATTTAGACAAAATCCTCACTGTATATTAATGAAAGACGGCCCCATGGCTCTGTTCCTATCCTCCCCATTCAGTGTAAACAAAACCACGAGACTTTCTCAGTTTTTGAGCCAGATCCAAGCAAAATCGGCAGGAAAGCAAAACACGGGGTGCTGGCACTGACTATTCAAACGTCTGCACCTGGAGATCTCAGATTTATTCAATGAAATCTGTGTTCCATCTTTTATATATACATATACGCATACCTAAATATAAAAAAGGAATCTTAAAGAAACACAAAAGGAAAAATTCGTGCTGTTTAGGGTTTGGTTACCTCTGCTTTTCACATCTGTATCTTAGCAATAATGGCTTTGCTAAAACCTTCCTAGGCTTGTATCTCATCTCTCCCTGGGCAAGCAAGAGCTGGACAAGATCCTACATAAATTCCTCGCGCCTACTGCTAATCTGTAGATCACCCAAAGGCTGCAGGGCTGCGGCTGGGTTCTCCGGCTTTAACTGGGTTCACCTTACTAAGCCCAGCACAGGAATTATTCCCCGGGAGGGAAGGGCAGTTCCGTTCACACTTTAATCGGAGCACTCGGCAGCTCCGCATCTACGTCCAGGCCCGCGGCGCCGCCGCCCGCCGCCCCCGCGAGCCGGGGCCACGGGTGCAGAGCTGGTGCACTGCAGCTCTGGTGCGGGTTGCGTGCACACGCACACTCATTAAGAACGAGGTATTTATTTGAACGTCCGAATTTGGTTAGTTCATTTGAAATCCCCGAGGAGGGTTCAATTTGCCCTTGTTTTCGTTGCCACTTTCTCTTTTTTCTTGGTTCGCTGAGGTTCCTCCGAGCGGCGTTTCCGCTTGGCCGCGTCCCCCTCCCCGCTTCTCCCGCCTACCCCTCGCACTCCCCCGCCCACCCCCCTTAACTCTTTCAACCCGGTTGGGGCTGAGAAAGCGCTTGTTGTCGCCAGCCCCCTTTACCACGCAAACCCACTGGAGACAGAAAAGAAAGAAAAGCACCACCGTGCCTTAGAATCGCCAGCAAGCAAACCCCACCACTAATAATCACACTGAAATTACACACACACATACACTAAGCACACTAAGCATACTAAGCACACACAGTAAGCGGTGGAGGGAGCCGCGAGTGGATTCGGGCTCTTTAGCCCGGCTCCTGCTGCAACGGGAGCTCGTAAAGCCACGGGGAAGGAACACACTTACGAAGTATCAATGGGGCAAGGTCGGCCTGCTTTTCCAAAACATCGCTCGACTCTGCAGACCGGCACCCCCCAAACTCACAGGGGAACGCAAGCTACTTGCCTGGCCAGGAGGAGGGAGGAGGGAGGGGGAAGGAGGAAAGGAGCGGGAGCGAGGCAAGGGAAGTGGGGGCGAGCGCAGCGGCGGCGAGAGGTCCGCTCGCACGCACGGGCGCCGCGCTGGTCCCGGGCTGCAGCTTTCCCAGAAGATGGCATCCGAGAACTTAAACAAAGGGGACCGCCGCCGGCGCGAAGCGGCTGCGGAAAGTTGCGGTGGCGGATTTCCAAGAAGCGTGGCCAGGACCCGAGCTCTTGGCGCTGCGAGCTCCCCTTTCCCCACCCCGCCGAAACAGAGATGGGGGCCGACTGGTGAAGGAAAAAGGAAACTTTGAAACCACTGGGGTCACATCTGTCTCTAGGTATTAGCTTGAAAGGTGCATCTCTGCCGCACGCTTTACAAATCTCTGAGGTGGGAGGGGGCGGGAGGGCTGCGACACGACACAACGCAATCCTAGGTGGAATGGATGGTTGCGCTATTTCATGATTTTTTTTCCCCTCTTCGTATTCCCTCCGATTCTGCCCGCCCCCCCCCCGCGGCCCCGCCTTCTGTCTCTCGCTCTCTTTTCGCTCTCCTTTCGTTCCGTCCTCCCAGGCCGCCTGCGAACGTCCGGAGCCGCGGAGGGTACGCCTAGGACTCCGCCGGACACTAAGAGTTAAGATGTGGCGGAGGGGGTGGCGGGGGAGGGGCCGAGAGGAGAAAGTGGAGAGGGGGAGGGAGCCTGAGGGACGACAGATTTCCCGCATCTACGAAGCTCTGCCTAAATTAAAAAGCAACCAATCGGAACGGCCGGAAGGGGGGCCTCGCGTCCTGAGCCAGTCATTTCGGGCCTGCCAATCACACAGCAGGTAGCCAATCAACGGGGCCCCTGGTGCTCGACTTCCTTGTATTTGGGAAAGTGTGGTGATGGGTGTGCGCTCGCGGCAGAGGGTAAACATTCGACAGTCCCTGCTCTGAGAGGGAGGGACCGAGAGCGAACTGTCAGATTGGAGCGCGAGCGGGCGGGCAAGACTGGGGGAGAGAAAGAGGGAGAGAGAGAGAAAGAGAGAGAGAGAAAGTGAGAGAGAAAGAGAGAGCGCAAACCAGGGCGCAGAACGAGCTCCCACTGCAACTCCGCTCCGGCACGGCCCGCGCCAGCGCCATCCGTGCACCCTACGAGCCGCGCAACGTGCCCACTGGAGTTGGTTGTGTATCAAGGAATCCCTGTATGCACACACATCCCTCCACCTCCACCAATGCACTCTTCCTCCTCCTCCTTCTCCTCCTCCTCCTCCAGACAACTGCTGGGAAAAAAATAAAACACCAACCCCAACCTTCAGCAACAAGGTAACAGAGCCATTCGACCTCATTTTTCTCCTGTTAATTTTTCCTTGTTATATTTGTTTCCTCATTTCTGCCCGAAAGGAAAGATGCCGCATCAGACTGTGACTGTTGCGAGGAGAATGAAAGAGGACTCTTGTTTCAGAGGTAACCAAGAGTTCCGGCAATAGCAACTTCAGAGAAATGCAGCATCGCAAGAAGTTTTTCTAGGACAGAACAAAACTTGAAACGACAGGACCCAACGAGGAGAGCAGGAGCTAGCCTCTCCTCTCGGCCGCACACGCCAGCAGCCAGCATCACCACGCCTTCAAGGACTAAAAAAGTTTTACTACCACAAGGGATAACGAGTGAAATGTGTTCCTGAGGAGAGAGGCCAAGGAAAGGAGCAGGCCGGCTGTTGGTCATCCATAATTTGATTCAGGAAGAAACGGCTTCTTTCTTTGTTGTCTCTCGTGAAATCGCCACATAGCAGGTGGATCGAACCCCGCGTCCGGGCAGAGTCCGCATTCACCGGGACAGGAGAACGAGTGGGAGCCGGGCGTCCCGGCTTAGAGCCCGAGCGCAGGCCCGCGCCCCGCCCGGCGAGCCCCGCGGGAGGCAGACGAACGCGCCGGGGCTGGGGGCCGGCCAAGATCCCCCCTGAAGGGGGCGGCCACGGAGCGCGCCCCGAGAAGCTAGCCCCACTCCCCAGAGCGCTGCTCCTGCTGCTGCAGCTGACCGAGGCCGGCCGGCGACCCCCGCGCCTTGACGAGCGGCCTTGCAGCTCCGGCCGGGGGCCTCGGCGGCGGCGGCGGCGGCGGCGGCGGCGGCGGCGGGGGAGGCGGCGGCGGCGGCGGCGGCGGCGGCGGCGGAGGCGGCGGGGCCGACCGGGGCCCGCGGCGGGGGCGGGGGAGGAGTGGGGGGGAGAAGGCGGGAAGCGGGGGGGGGGGCGGGCGCGGCGGCCGCGGCTGCTGCTGCGGCGGCGGTGGTGGCGGCGGTGGGGTGGCGGGAGAGGAGCGGCATGGCCACGGCGGCTTCTAACCCCTACCTGCCGGGGAACAGCCTGCTGGCGGCCGGCTCCATTGTACACACGGACGCGGCGGGGGCCGGCGGCGGTGGGGGCGGGGGAGGCGGCGGCGGCGGCACAGGGGGCGGAGGGGGCGGCCTGCAGCCCGGCAGTGCCGCTGTGACCTCCGGCGCCTACCGAGGGGACCCGTCCTCCGTCAAGATGGTCCAGAGCGACTTCATGCAGGGGGCCATGGCCGCCAGCAACGGCGGCCATATGCTCAGCCACGCGCACCAGTGGGTCACGGCCCTGCCCCACGCCGCCGCCGCTGCCGCGGCCGCCGCCGCCGCCGCGGTGGAGGCGAGCTCGCCCTGGTCCGGCAGCGCCGTGGGCATGGCCGGCAGTCCCCAGCAGCCGCCGCCGCCGCAGGGCCCCGACGTGAAGGGCGGCGCCGGGCGCGAAGACCTGCACGCGGGCACCGCGCTTCACCACCGCGGCCCGCCGCACCTCGGGCCCCCGCCGCCGCCGCCGCCGCCGCCGCCGCACCAGGGCCACCCTGGGGGCTGGGGGGCCGCCGCCGCCGCGGCCGCCGCCGCCGCCGCGGCCGCTGCCGCGCACCTCCCGTCCATGGCGGGGAGCCAGCAGCCGCCGCCGCAGGGCCTGCTGTACTCGCAGCCTGGGGGCTTCACGGTGAATGGCATGCTGAGCGCGCCCCCCGGGCCCGGCGGCGGCGGCGGCGCGGGCGGCGGAGCGCAGAGTCTGGTGCACCCGGGGCTGGTGCGCGGGGACACGCCCGAGCTGGCGGACCACCACCACCACCACCACCACCACCCGCACCCGCCGCACCCACACCACGCGCAGGGCCCGCCACACCACAGCGGTGGTGGCGCAGGGCCAGGACTCAACAGCCACGACCCGCACTCGGATGAGGACACGCCAACGTCGGACGACCTCGAGCAGTTCGCCAAGCAGTTCAAGCAGCGGCGTATCAAGCTTGGCTTCACACAGGCCGACGTGGGGTTGGCGCTGGGCACGCTGTACGGCAACGTGTTCTCGCAGACCACCATCTGCCGCTTCGAGGCTCTACAGCTGAGCTTCAAGAACATGTGCAAGCTCAAGCCGCTGCTGAACAAGTGGCTGGAGGAGGCGGACTCGAGCACCGGCAGCCCCACCAGCATCGACAAGATAGCGGCGCAGGGCCGCAAGCGCAAGAAGCGGACCTCCATCGAGGTGAGCGTCAAGGGCGCGCTAGAGAGCCACTTCCTCAAGTGCCCCAAGCCCTCCGCGCAGGAGATCACCAACCTGGCAGACAGCCTGCAGCTCGAGAAGGAGGTGGTGAGGGTTTGGTTCTGCAACCGACGCCAAAAGGAGAAACGCATGACGCCGCCCGGGATCCAACAGCAGACGCCCGACGACGTCTACTCGCAAGTGGGCACCGTGAGCGCCGACACGCCGCCGCCACACCACGGACTGCAGACGAGCGTGCAGTGAGGGCCAGGGGCGCAGCGACATGAGGGCCCGCCACCGCCGCCGCCGCCTGTGCAGTCGCCGCCACCGCCAACGCCCGGACTGCCCCGGGCCCCGGCCGGTACGCCGGGCTTCCCTCCGCCCAAAGACAAGCTTGCCCACCCTTGGAGGAAAAAAGGAGAGAGACAGATGAGACGTTTTCTGGAGCCCAAGAAAGGAGGGGCAAAACAAACAAACAAAAAGCATAATAAACACCCAGATGGTTTTACATACATGTACAACAAGCAAAACCAGAAGAGAGAAGAAGGTCAATCGTGAGATCTCATTTGTACTGTGGTGGTGGTTAGTTTTTTGTTCTTGTTTTTGTTTTCAAAGAAGGGTGAAAATGCCAGCGCGCCAAAACTGCACTCGTGGAGTTTTGCCCACCCTGAGAAGTCCCCCACGGCGACTGTGGACAGAACCTAGCACCTGCCTTTTCCTCTCCTCTTTAAAAAATAAATAAGTAAAAGCACCCTTCTCTCCTGACCCCCTCCCTCCAAAGGGCTGCCTAAGGTGACCCACCGGTACCTTGTTTCCTGAGAGAGATCTGAAAGAAAGCAGAGGCACCGGGTTTAATCAGGGATGACTCTGATCCGGGACCGGTTCTTCTTGGCCATATTAAAGTCATTTTGGGACAAGTAAACTGACTATGAAATGGGAAGGAGAAAAAAAAGAACAGTCTCCAGCAAAAATAATATTCACAGCTTCTGAAATTAACGAACTGAAGAGCAAAGCCAAAAGAAAAATAATGCGTTTCCTCCAAATAACCTCGGAAATAAAAGCATCACGAAACAGCAGAGGGATGAGCGAGGGCGAAGGGGACATCGCTCATCCCTCATCCGACAGGGAGTGAGAGAGCCAGGCAGAGCAGGGGCGCGTGTGGGCACACGGCATGGAGCGAGGCCTGGCCAACAACCCTGACTGCAATGGCTGCCATTCGGGTGGATGATGCCTAAAGATGCCACCGCTAATATTTTTTTTATTAATATTTTTATTTTTTATTTCTGGACTGACTCAGATAAAGGGATTTGGAAAGACTGAGCACCAGCCGCTGCCCTTCTTGGACTTCGCTCCTCAATCCGTTGCCAACTTTGATTGAATGGGTGCTGTGGATGTGATTATATAATACTGCCATTTCCAAGCAGTGTTTTTGGTAGGTTTTAATAAACAGACTTTTCAAAAGACGGCAATATAGAATTGTTAGATCCGTTGTTGATCTAAAAATATTTGCTTTATATTTTCATTAAATGACTTCTTTTAATATTTTATTCAGAATACTTTATGAACTGCTGCAAAACGGTAATTTATTTTTCCCCAGATCTTGTATTACGTGTTTTTTTCAGACGAGCACAAATCAAAATGAAATGAAAATATGGACAGTTGTTAGGTAATAAGGGTATCTTTTGATGTGATCATTTGATTGTAATTTAATTTGAGTAGTGATTCCGTAAGAGCTGATCGAGAAAATAAATTTGTTAGAATGAAATAGTCTGTGTCTGATGCATAAACACTGTGGGAAGAAAATAGTTCTTTAGAAAATATTTTTTTACTAATGCATATCCTTAAGTGATAGTGCTAAGGAAGTAAAGTAGAGCTTACTGCACTTAAGGTAGATTTGGAAATCTAGAGTAAAGGACAGACTGACAGAAACTGCTAGTACTTTAATTTTACCTTAGTAGCCAACTCCTTGGTAAACTGTAAATTTCACAACATTTTTCTTTTCCCTTAATTTCAGCGGGTGTTTTTAGTGTTTTTAGGGGAAATTGTCTAAATACTGGTCCTTTCCTTGGAGATACTTCGGTCCTTTTCATATTTATTAAAAGATTGGACAATGTCACCAGTAAAAATTTGCCAACTGATTATGAATGATTAGTATAGAGCCCCCTTCCCAATGTTTAGCCTCTTTTCCCTCTCTTCCCCCTCACATTGCTATATCTCTTTCCTTTTTTACTGAAGACTAATATTTGTGAAGATTAGCTTACAAGTCTATAACATTTTACATCAATTACTTTCCATTGATGACTATGTGATTAAGTTTAAATTATTAAGCCATTTCTGGGTTTGTTTTGTTTATTTTTCCTGTAATGAAAGAATGTAGTTCTAAAATCCTGAATATGGTCCACACGGCATTATCCTCAGTTTGATTACCAGCTCAGACATAAGATTCTACATTTCTGTGTTTTGGTCTTTCCCCAGTGTGATTCTGTATCTTCTTTACAGGCCCTGGCAGTTGGGGTGGGGGGGTAGCTTTTTGAATCACTCCTAAGATATACCCTGTAGAGTGGTCACATTTATCACATTAATGTATCAATATTTACAATGGGTGGGGGAGGGATGAAACTGTGATGCCTCAGGTTGTGAGTACTAAAGACAAAAAAAGGCTCTACTTAGTTGCGTCCTTTCATATTGGACTTTAAAAAAGTATTTGGGGGTGATAAAGCTGTGATTTTATAGAATAATTTTCCCTTAATCTCATTTAGTTGTCACTCACTTTTTGCCTTCTTCTCTCATCCTCACTTCCTCTCCCTAAGATATCAGTGCAGGGGTTTAAAAACCCGGAAAACTGTAAGAGCAACAAGGAACAGTTATTTCTTCCAGGCAGACCCTTTGTCACTTTCATAAATCAAGCCCAGCCAGATGGCCGTGTGTTGGGTTACATTATTTTAAACACCAAATCGTACTAAAAATCACAATCATTTTGATTTGTGAAATCTGAAAAGGGCCATATTTATTAAACAGAAAAAATAAAAAATGAAAACAAGAAACCGCAATTTACTTTTCTTGGCTTTCCTGTTTCCTTATTTCTCTTGCTATTGTAATCTCTCTGCCCAGTAAACTTGCAATCTGGAGTGAGGAGTTGGGGCAAACTTCATCATATTTTAGGGTCTACAGGGGCAAGCAAAGATGCCTTATTGGACAGCTAAGGATTGGGTGTGGTTGTTTTTGTATGTTGGATAATTCTCGCATGCGAGATCAAATCCTTTTTTCCCTATAGGATTGATGGTGGTTGATTGGACAGCGGGTCTATTTAAAATTTTAGGAGCTATTTGCTTACTTGATTTGGCTGACAACAAAAGAACTACCTTTAGATTTCACATTGTTTTCTATTAAAAATCAACCTTTGCTGATTACTTTGGAAGAAGCCCTGATTTATGGATAACAGAGTAACTTTTAACTGGAGAAGCTGGGAAAGCAAGACCATTTTATTTCATTATTTTACAGTTTTTAAAAGTGAGCTAGTGCTGGAACTCCATATTTTGAAAATCAACCCTTTGAATGTATTTACAAAATGAAATTTATGGTTGAAAAACAACAGACAGCAGATACAACTGAGAGATTTTGTGTTAAGGCTTATATTGTTACTAACATAAATAATGAAAATATTGTTATATATCACCAGATCTTTTTAATGAATTTGGTCATTGTGTTCCTTTGCAGAGCAAGTGTCTTGTGCTTCGTAAAGTGCCCATTTGTTTCTTCCATTTCAATTCACCCTCTCCTCCCCTTCCAACTGAAAGGAAAGGGACAAAGTTCTGTTCCATCAATCTGGCTAATCCCAAACTAGGTCCATTTATACATTGCAGTCTCCTGTGGCTCCTGATGTGTTGTCCAAGCCTCAGTCATCTCATTCACCCAACCATCTTCTCCTGAAAGTCTGGGCGATAGATCATTCAAGGTGTATTTAAAATAGTCACTGTGCTGTAGTTGCTCTGCCTTTTTTATTTTTTTAAGTACTTAGCTAAGGACTACTTCTTTGTTCCAAAACAGAATTGTTCATGGTCGATCTTAGAGAGTTGCTCGGCTTCCCTGTAGCCTCCAGTGTTTGCTCATTACCATGCTCATAATGTTTTGTATGAATGGTTTTCAACATTCAGAGAATTGGTTCTAATATTAAATGCAGTATATACTATTGATAGTGTATCAATAAGTGTAATATTTTAAATAATTTTAACAATTAAATTTGTTTTTAAATTATATATTTGTAAAGTATTTATCTTGTTGGAAGCAACAATATATTGTTGTATTTATTCATTTATTTTTGTAATAAATGATCAACCTCTCAAGCTAAATCACAAATGACACCTTTATATATTTATACGAAATGCATTTTAAGAGATAGGCATGTTTGCACCAATTTGTATGTAAATAGAGAAAGATCCATCAATAACCTGTAGCTTTCAGAACTAAATTGAAGGAAGAAACATTCTCTCCACATGGAGTTTAGTTTGCCCAAGTTCCAGGGTAATTAATCAAATTCTAAAATGGATGCAACAAGTATTGGCACTGGATGCAGACTTGAAATTAATTATTTAGGAGGTGGACCTGTTTTTTTTCAAGGCAGAAGGATAGAAATTAAAGAATTCTTTCATGAAGTACACGTGGCTGACTAGGCAGATTAGAACAGATGCTATGTATCAGTGATAAAACCTAATACCTGGCGGTCCTCAGACATCTATGCTGGGGAAGGGTGTTGAAAGAGAGTTAAGACTTTTGAGGTTATCAGTGACCCAGAAACAAGGTAACGTAGAAAAAATAGTTGTGTTATATTATTCTTTTTAAATGTCTTCTTGAAACAGCTAAGTGAAGAGCCTCTTTCTCCTAGTCCTGTTACTGACAGCACAAGCAAGCAATCAGCACAGGTGTTAGTGTTGTTGTTGTTGTTGCTGCTGAGTGTGACACATGTAAAAAGTGTGGAGGCCACCTCTTCAGATCTCCAAGTTTTGTAGGTTTCTTGGTCATCTCAGTTCCTTCCCTGAAGGTCTCCCATGTGACCTCCTGGCAGCGGAGCTCCACCCTGGGCTTGATCTTGATTTCAGTAAGGAAATCAGAGAGCTCTGGGTTTGCCTCCTGAACCTTGGAGTCTAGGAAAGGAAGTCATGCAGAGGCTGGAAGAAAGGGAGGGGGGCAGCGGAGATAGCAAGAGGGGTACTTGTGTAATCAGATTCTTTGATTTTGTTAGCCTGGCTCATGGCCTATTAATTAGA